TTGTCCCACCCAATGGTTAGCCTACAAAGACTACAACTAGCCAAGTCTAACTAAGAATCTCCTGCAGGTCAAAGGGAGGTGGCCTATACCATCATCAAATTACTATGTTTGTATAACAGATGATCCCAATTTCTATTTTGATTATGCCAACAACCACAGAGTCTATATACCCGTGTTAGGTTACATCCTTACAATATTCCCTAGATCGTTCCCCTTAAAAGTCTGTATATTCTATCTTGCACTACAGCTGATGGAGAGCTAGGGGAAAAAAAAAACTGCTTTTCTATGAATGATCTGTTTTGATGTTAAAGATTTCATAAAAGTAATAAAAACATATTCCAACTACCTAGCAAAACTTATTTCCCCTCCCACTCATCCCAATATAGTACACAAATTTTGCTGAGACACAATGAACTTTTGTTCTCCCGCCCTGGCGGGGGGTCGGGCTAGAAGATCTACTAGGTCCCTTCCGACCCTTAATCTATGAATCTATAAACTTATCCTAATCAGAGGAAAATGAACATTTTATGTAATAATGCAAGAGAGTGGTGCTAAAAGTGTTGAATTTTATTTTACTAGTTTACAAAGTATAACATGGCACCAATCTCTTCTACTTTCCCCAGAATCAAAGCATAGATTTTTTTGCACAGATACGTATTAAAGAGAGACATCTATTTAATCTCATCAAAAGAGACAGTTCATAAGGCTTGGAAGGCTAGAATTTTCCTTGTAACTTCCCCATTGCAAAAGATGACCTTGGTACAGGAAGAGAAATTTGAACGTTGATGCTGTAAATTAGACTGATGTCCTGGTTTATGTACATCATTTTATGTTCCTTGGTGTACCTGCTAACACATCCCAGATACTATGAACTTTTTAATTAGAACAGGGGTCAGCAACCTCCTCAAGAGATTATGTTTAGCCTACAAAGCCAAGAAATCAGGGGGAATCAGCAGTAATTTGGTGATGGTAAATAACAAGTGGTGGCAGCTGCTGGGTCAGAAGCAGCGCCTCCTTTTCCCTCCTCCCCACTTAAACAGAGTTCTGTCAATTTGGTATATCACTCCTAAAAAATAGCCAACCCCTGAATTAGGATATGTCAAAGTATCCAAGAACTTAAAGGAGCTGCGTGACATCTGCGCACGGGCAAATGGTGCCACCTGAGTCGGGGCGGGGGGGGCACATGCCCCCCACAGCAGCCAGTCAGTGACTGGGGGTGGGAGGAAGTCCGCACAGCCAATCTCGCCAACCGGGAAGCCAGTGGTGCTCCTGTGTTTCACTTTGTGTTTAATAAAAATACGAAGATCGGTACAAGGACTATACTCACCAATCTGTTTTCATCAAACACTTCAAACAGGAGTCGATGATTGGTTGGGTTTACCTATCAGAAAATACAAACAGTGTTACTTCACGTTCATTACTTTTATGATGACATAAGCCATTTATTGCAGTTTGCTAAATAACTAAACCACAACCATAACGATGAGCGGCCAACAAGCTTTGTGCCCAGCTCTAATTACACTTAATGTGCAAGTATGAGAACGCTTCGTGCCTAAATTTGCAGCAAACATTCTACATTTCAATATTATATTTCTACATACAGCAATTAATAGATCGTACTGTATGCTACATTCCTGTTCCTGCAGAAAACCTCCAAAGGACAGAGATGTGGCTGCTGCATACCAAGAGAGCTATCCTACCAGGCATAGGAGGCTCCATGGTTACTGGTCCATGAAAGTCCCTAGACGGCTAGACTGCTGAGACTCTGGGGACTTCATTAGTACTGCAGCTGCAAATCCTAACAGGTGATGCACCAAACAGATTTTTAAGAGGCTGTTTCTCTTTTGGCCTGGATTCTGAGATTTTTCGTTCAGAAATATGCTGCCCTTCTATTGTTTACCCTCTGTCCATCTGTCTAGATGTGGTGACTATTCATCACAAGGAACACTTTGTAAAACTGAATTAAAGTTAGACCACACACACTGCATCTTCAGAAAAAATCCCCAATACTGTAGCCAAGGAACAAATACTCCTCTGAATATAGTGGGCTATTCCCAATATTCTACTTCAGGCAACACAAAGAAGATAATCCACACTGGGCAGACACGTCTGTGAGATTGAGGGGAAATCCCAAATTTAACTATATTGAGGAGTTTGAGCCACCTTGTGAATGAATTCATTGCATTTCTGACCAGGAGTTTAACATGCTTGTGTAATACCTGTTCGGCAGTTAAAGCAACAAGACTCCCAGTAGTCTGGACCATTACAGAGCTCTAAAGTGGCCAAGGGCAAGCCAGAGAATATCAGCGAAATCATAAATGCAAGCATATGTAGCCAGTTTCTACACGTCCTGAACATGTGGCTTTTCCACTGGAGGGGGAACATCCAGGTATGGGAGCACTGTGCCTTATGATCTCCTCTCCAATGCCCCACCTTTTATAAAAGACTGCAGGAAAAAATGGAGTTACACATACCAAGGCTCAGTTTCCTGAATCACCTGCCCAGTGTGGAACCAAATCTAAATGTACATTGATGGATAAACTTTGCATTAAGCTTTGGGTTCACTGAGCAAACTATATTCACTGGGAATAAATGTTAACGATGCAATGGTGGGCACCTACTTGATTTAAACTTTTTCGTTTTTACAGCTTGTTATGTGTCAAAAAGAGACTACCATTCTCCTTATATTGTTTTATGGAGAAGCCCAATAATCACCAAACTTAAGTGAAAATGTAACATGACCAGACAAATTCAGGTAACAAGAAATCTGAATGCATCAAATTCTGTTGTGACTGGAATGGGTAAGACTCGGGTGAGTCGCGCTCAGCTCCTAGTAGCAAGAAAATTGCTAGGGATTCAGCATTATTCACGCGAACAGGTTTAAGTCTATTTTTCCCCAGAGTACATAAAGGCTACTGACAGACGTGGGGGGAGACAAAAAAAAATACACACTTTAAGAGCAGCAGCAGCACATTACTTCCACCTGGCTCCACCGCATCTGTGTAGATCGGGATCTTCAGCAAGGTTTTTTGGCCATTTCATTTAAAGTTGGCTCAATCAGCTATTAGATAAAAGTGCCAAAAAAGCCCCACTGAAGCGACCAATCTATACAGATGCTGGGCAAGCCAGGTCTAACTAATGTGCTGCCTCTTTTGGGCACATGCTGAACCTGGCAGAGGAGTGCATCGAGTTTAAAGTAAAGCTCTGCTGCTTTGTTTTGTTTTGTTTTTTACATCTACAAGCAGTCTATAGGATGAGAAACAGCTAATGCTGTAAAGATAATTTTAGAGATTTAAAAACAAATCTATTAAAAGTTCACTGGTGCAGTCTCAAAAAAAACCTATTTTGAAATGGAAACTCACTTTAAAGCATTTCTCATCTCCCAGATTAGATATTAACATATATTCCTAAGTAACTGTTTAAGTTACCAAATTAGCACAATGGTCAATGGCTAGAACTGTACAAAAAACATGTTGCAGGATACTCCAGTTTTAACAATTCACAATGCCATGCTTGTGCCTGTTCTCAAACAGCTGTTGTTAAAGATTAAACTGTTGAAATTTTACCTAACCTACTTTTGTAAAGGGAAAAAAAAAACTGCAACTGCCCAGAAATCAACTCCACCCCGAAAAATCTTTGTAGCATCTGAGGATCAGAAATGTTTTTTGCTCTCACTCATTTCAATTCCATAAATATATGAAGGGCAATTTAGAGCAATTACTATTTTAATTCTATTCTTTACTACTTTTAAACATTTAACTCTACTTGTTGTGGTAAAATGCCAGTTATTACTTGTAACAGAAAGTGCAACATTTTAGGTTCAGTTCTATCAACTTTAACATGACCTGATGCTAATTTAATTAGTTACGACGAAAATAACACGTTTATATTTTTCCTTTGTCCTTATGCCCTAGGCCAAAATTCACTCGTTCAATTGTCCTCCTTTACTTCTACTTTGTTTGGGGGATTTTTGTCATGCCAGCTCAACTTTCAGGATCTTTAAGCATAAAATAGCAATATAGATTCTTTCATTAAAATTATGCTGTGCTATGACACATTAGGAAATATTCTCCTTATTTGCCATTACATTAACCATTTAATACCACAGCAAACACTGTATACTAAAAATGTGCATTTCAGTGAAGAGTTTTCTATCCTTTATATGCATTGACTCAAAGCCTGAATAAAATAAAGCATTATTAAATTGTGCAACCACCCATTTGTATGCTAAACCATATGTTAATATCTCACTTTCTATTCTGTTTTTAAGAAAAAGAGATTAGGTGGTAATGCTATGTAGTCAAGTGATTTTTTTACACTCTGAAATAAACCAATTAACATGTCCTCCCCACCCACTCCAATGTTTAATTACATTGAGAGATAAGCTCTCTATTATTAGTTATCACAAATAAAGGGAAACTTACTCTAAAATAAAATTCTTCATTCCATTTGGGATTCAGTGTCTGTAAAAGAAAATAGTTTTATTTTACCAAAAATATTTTTACAATCTTAAAATGTTAGTTCATCCAGGCTGCTGGTCTATCTGAAGTCATTTAAATGTGCATGTATGCTATACCATTAGGTAAAAGTGATAAAGGGAAAAAAAAGCCCAGTCAGTTCCACTGTAAAACCAAAGAACAGAAACATGCATCTTAAATGATTCAAAAACATTTCCACAGAGCAAACCAACCGTGGGAGGGGATTTGAGCCAGATGAACCAAAAATAGATGTTCACTATAAATAGGATTCTATCAGTAGAAGGCAAATCATTGAGGACTCCTGCAAAGATAGCATCATGAAAGCCAGAAAACATTTCATTCTTGAAATTCATTTTTTTTTAAATAATCATTTTATTTACTTGTTTTCAACTATCAGAATGAATTTATTTTGCTAAAGAAAATTATATATTAGGTTGCGTAAAAAAAGCAAAAGCTCTTTTCTTTGAACTAGTATAGTGGTACCCTAGTGGTATCCTTTTCTCTTGTTTCTGTAGTAAACAAACACTACAAAGCACTGTAATTTTTTTTTTTAAATTGTGTAGGACATTCATGTAGCCTACAACCTTAAAAGAAACCAACCAGAAGATCATCAAGCTGAACATACTAGTAAAATGCAAATACAAGCAAGTCATGCAGTTCAAATTTTAAAAGATAATATGTGGATGTATCCACTCAACTTATTTTAATATTAAATCCCACTCCCTCCCTCCCTTCCACACACGGACCCCCGCCCCTGCTTTGTAGGTGCCAAAATAAAAACTTTATCAGCCCTGTTCCATAGAGTACAGAGCGGAAGAGGGAAAATTAATTCTCCAAACCAGCAAAACACCTGCAAATATAAACTGAGGTCAATATATTTTTGGGTCTGTAACCATGTGCTATCCTTAAATATAGGCTCAGGACCAAGAATAAAGCTCTCTTAATCTTATTTCTTGAAACAAAAAAATATTTCTTTATTGTCATAAGGAGTTTTTAAATTAACCAAATGAAGTAATATCTTATACTTTAATTCAGTCATGTATCTGTTTGCCTGCCTGGAAGGCAATAACTTTCGAATGCTTCATCCAATATATTCAACAAGTTAGGGATGTAAATGTCATTAAAAAATTATCTGTTTAACCTCCTCTAATGATAACGGGTAAATGGTTAACTGATAACGCATACCTAGTTCTGGCCGGGGCGTGCAGAGCCAGGGGCCAGCACCTGCCCACCTCACCCCAGCATGGGGAAAGGGCTGTAGCCACCTGCCCAGAGCAGTGCGGGGAGCCAGGGGCTACACAAAGACCCACTCAGACATGGCTGCTGCTAGAAGCCACCTCTGACAGTGGGAGAAGCCCTGCCAGACAACACAGCCCTCAAAGTCGTGGGCAGCAGGAGCAAGCAAGGGGTCTTCCCAGCTAGCAGCAGCCACTAGCATGCTGGGAGGGAGGGAACAGACTAGCTATGAGTACTAATCCCCCCTCGCTCCTCCCTCCTGCCTGACCAACATCTTCCGGTTCCTGCCAGGACATCATGCAGCTTCACTTCTCCCTTCGCTGCCAGACTGCGCCCCACCCTGTTCTAAACAATAACTGGCAATCTATAACTGGTTATAACTGAGCTTATCGGTTAAATAATTATTCATTTAACCATTCATATCCCTAAAACAATTTCAGGGAACATTCGAGGCATCAGTGGACAGAACTGTATTTATTTTTGGTGAAAAGACCTATGTTCTCACGTAAAGGGGGAAAATATCAAACATGCACAAAGGCCCTGTCTCTTAGTTAGCATACCCAAAAGCTTCAACTACTTCCAACTGTCTACAGGTCAAAGAACTGGTGGTCCTGGGGTCATTACCTTGCCTCAGATATTAAAATCAGATGGGAAGTGAATCTTCAGACATATACACTAAAAAAGGACAAGGAAAGAAGTGGGTCTACTACACAGTAAAAATAGAGGACTGTTGAAAGTTCTCCTAAGTATGGTTCAGCAACTGAATGGATGCTGTGCCTCAGTTTTCTATAAGGGGGGAGTCGGGGGAAGAGTGGTTGACGGTGAACATGGAGCAAGATGCCTAATGGGAAACAGAATGCAAATGGCGATGAAGTCACACTCCAAGAGTGTAACCAGGGGAGTAAATAATCTCCATCCCAGAATTCTGAAGAGACTGACATACAACATAAAAGATCCATTAGCAAGGATTTCTACTAAATCTATTAAGTCAGGGCTAGATCCATACGACTGGAAATGCTGTGCCTATATTTCAGAAAGGAAGGGATGATCTAGACAATGGCAGGCCAATTACCCGCCCTGCAACAGTAAGCAAGGTTTTGGAACAATTTTTTAAACAAAAAGTAAAAACAAAGGTAAAATGGGATACAATGTAACATGGGTTTATCAAAGGTAGATCAGATCATGCCAGACTAGACATGGAGAAGATCTAGGTGGGGTACACTGGTGCAGCCACATCCCCCTTCTGCCATCACCACAATTGCTGTCCCCAGCTAACCTGGGTGCAGGGGGAACCCCAGAGCCACTCTTGCCCTGCTCTAGCTGCAGGCTATGGGGAACATCTGCACAGGGTGCCAGGCTCCAGTGGGAACAGCAGAAATAGTGAACAGCAGTAGTAGTTTCCTCTTCCTGCACCTGTTCCCTGCCAATCCACTACCATTATCACCACTGGCCAAGAAGAGATATTAGTAGAAGGACCCCCCCCCTGCCACTACAGCTGTCTCCAGCTGACATGGCACCCTACACAGTAGCTCCCTACAGCTCCTGGCTGGAGCTGAGTAGGAGGAGCTCTGGG